AGTATTATGAATGAAATACTGAATAATTCTGAATTTGAGACAATCTCATTCATTCAATCTAAAACACAACAATAAATACATCTTTAGTTCGAATCGTGTCAGATTGAAGGAATTTTTAGTAGTGAATTAGTTCGTCCAGGAAAGTACTGCCAACTTACCTATTTTTGTCGCCAAGCGGTAATGTGAGCATTACTGCGTTTCGGTTTTAAAGGGTGCTGGTGAAATCACATTCACATGGGACTTGTCAACTTATGTCTTAGGATGACCGGCGCAGAGGCGTTGCCCCTCAAATCGTCGTGATTTGGAGCTCTGAGTAGCAGTGCAACTGTTATGGACAGGCCTGTCGCTTACCATCAGGCCCACGATTATTCGTCCTATCAATTGGTATCATAAAAAAAGAAAAAATGCGAAAGAGTGAAATAGATGTTGCACATTTCCCTTCTGCTCGGATCGTTAACTCATTGATAAGTGTGCTGATGGCCTAATATTAATCCTTCAATAAGTTAGGAAATAAATAAGTAAATAAACAGCAATAAAGTCAATCGATAATGATTGAGGAAAAGCAATTTATTACCTTCTACCAATATCGAAAAACATCTTAAAAACAAAACTTTTAAACTTTAATACAACTATTCACTCAAGGTTTTCCTGTTTATTTTACGTATCCCAGGTACGATTTCAAGCATTTTTAATATTTAAATTTGATCACCGTAAATTGTCACGTTTTGCAAGTACGTAATAAAAGATATCTGTACAAAATTCAGAACTTAACAATAATGTCGAACCAAAACGGTTAAAAGGGCAACAGGTAAAAAATAATGTGGTATTGCGTACTGTTTATTATCTTTGCTTAACTTTCAATACGATTTTGCACCCTTAGCGTAATAAGGCCACATCTGCAAAAGGACAACTCTTGAGGGGAGAAGATTCAAGATTTTACGAATAAAATTAGAGTTTAAAATTTCACGTACATGTAATTTTTTTCATGTAACTACATTATTTTTATGACTATTATGAGATAAAACCACATCTGACGAATGGTCAGTGCTTTATTATAATAAGGATACAATTTCAGCCTTGGTCGCATAATTAAGAGAATGGTGCCTCTCAAATATCAAAGTCCAATAATCTTTATTTCATAGGTAAGCATATTACACTTGAAATTGTCATATTGATTAAACTCTATTGCTCATTAGTAAGCCAGATTCCTCTGAGAAGAATGAGCAAGAGACTCTTTGTAAATATACTTTTATCATTTATAATATTTATTTCAAACATCGAGAATACCTGCAAGAGCTAAACGAATCACTACCACGGATTTTCGTCGTCCAAGTAGGCAGAAGCTGTAACCTTTAGAATAAAGTTCTTGTGTCACTATAGTTTTAAACTTTACCCGGAATCTTATAGAATCGTAGGTATACATTGCCCTTTAAATTAATTTGAAACTTTGTGAAGACAAGTTTACTGTCAAGAATAGCAAGTTTATTTTTGTTCCTCGCGTTAATGTTATGTCTGCCACTATTTTTCACAAAAAAAATTAATATTGTTCTTAACATGAATAACGTTTTCATAAAATGTACTGTGACGCTAGTATAAGAATGGTAATCTCTTTAAACTTGTCTCTCAAAGACACTTTGGGGCCCAACTCTTCATTTAATTCCATTAAACCAAGCGCTGTTTTGTAAAGCGGCTATCCGTAATGTAATACGGCCTCTCTGGTGTTCGACCGGATTGCAATTCGCCTAAAAAAGTACGCCACATTGTAATAGCACGTTTACAAAGCGGCTAAGAAATATGCCGCCGGAATACAATAATACGCTGCTTTGAAATGCTTAGTTCGAAATATAGCCGCCAGTAGCGCTGCAGTATCATAACAAAAATGGCGTCACGAACAGCAACTGTCTCAACATGGTGGAAACAATATTAGTTTGGAGTGGAAAAAGTAAAAATATGCGTAAATATAGTGAATAGTTCACCATTATTGTAGGTAACAAATTATTTCTCTTTTCATAATTATTCTTTCTAAAAAAACTCATAATACGTTGACGGTTTGAGCTTCATCTTGAGCCTTATTACGAAACTGTGTAATGTACCTAACTATAACTTTGAGATCTTCAAATCTTATACGCAATACAATGCATATACTTTTTGTGCACAACTTTGTGCCTAAGTTTCGTTTATTAAATTTCATATCTCTAAATTATGTGCGCATAATGTAATATGAAGCATCCGCATACCAAAATGTATAAACACAACAATTGCAATAAGTCGAGGTTGAACGGTCATGGGCGTTATAAACTGTTTGCAATTTTTGTCTATCGTGTATACGTACTGTTATTAATTATCTCGTACGTACGTACTTGGCTTGTCAGTATCTTATTACGTAATGAATATTAATTTTCACGACCTCCGTGGTCGAGTGGCTTGCATACCGGTTTTCATGGTTTAGATATGTCTGAGGTCCCGGGTTCGATCCCCGGTAGGGTCAATGCAGAAAACTTTTCTATATTGTCTCGGGTCTGAATGTTTGTGCTACTATTGTTGATTCCAATTTCCATATTTCCAATTTTTCTGAAAATAATATGGCGCCACCGTCTATGCGGAAAAGGCACGAAACTAAAAGCAAGGGTACCTGGTTGTTTGCGTTTGTTCACTTGAAGTAAATAAAAAAATGAGGTACTTTTTACCCCCTAGGGATTAAAGGATGCACTTTACTGGTTGATAATGGCGTACTTTTAGAGCATGAGAAGAGAAAAGGAGATTTCAAGTCCACTATATTTCTTTTTGTGATTGCTACGCTAAAAGCGTAAAAGCTCCAACATTTGTGAACCGATTTTGACTATTCTTTTTTTTGTTGGGAAGGGGATCCCAGAAGTGGTCCCATACAAATTTTAAGAAAATATTCCAACCTTAAGGGTGGCAAATCAGGGGATGGATTTCACCCTTTAATAAAACTTGGCAAACAGATGTAGTGCACAAACTTTTGAGGTCACTTTTTTCATAAAAAAAGGTAAAGTTATATTCTCTGACCAAAATATAATGATGAATGAACGAAAACGAAAGAATTATTTTGTTCCAAAAAACATAAAATAACTAAATTACCAGTAGCTGTGTGTGTGTGTGTTTGGGATGGATGAGACACTATAGATGCGCAGATTTAGACGAAATACAAAAACCAGGGAGCTAATTTTTTTTTGATAATATTTTACCTCTTATGTACAGTAAATGGTACTTTTATAAAATAGTATGCTAAACTAGGTATAACATACTATTGATTTAATAACATCACATGGGCGTACGCTCATGGATTTAATAATACTGTCATATAAGGAAAGTCGTCTTCGTAATCGACTTTATTACATCGTTTAACTGCATGCCTGCTCCTATTCTTGTGTAGGCCAGTGGGTGCTTGACCTTAGGTAATGAGTTGCATAACTATACATGAACCAGTCATGTGATCCCAATGCTCTATGTCATGAGCGCGAGCAATAATCCTTGTATCAATTCTTATTGCATGTAATTTTTTAAATTACGCGATTATTTGGCTTATTCTGTAAACAAATTGTTGGTATTTATTCTGGTACTACTTGGGATTTAGCCTTGTTAAAAGTACAAATTAGGTAAATAATGTATTTAATTGAATTGTAATTTATTACACCGTACGATAATAAATTGGGTACAAATTGAAGGATTCGATTGTAAATTAATTCCAAATTAAAACAGAGCTGACTACTCATTAATATTATGTAGAAGTATGATTCATTACCTCGTTGATGCATTTGTTTGCAATGTGAGCGCTGGACGAGGAGGTTCCAGGTTGGGTTACAGGTAGGAACATTATGGGCAAAACATTTCAAAGTATGGACGTTTTCTTAGTATGGACATACCCAATACTATACTTAGAAGCAGTAGAGCTCCTTGTGAAGAAGTTCGTCAAGGGAAGTACTGCCACCTTATCTATTTCTGTTGCCAAGCAGTAATGTGAGCATTACTGCGTTTCGGTTTAGAAACGTAAGGGAGCTGGTGAAATTGCAGCCACATGGGATTTGTCAACTTATGTCTCAGGGTGTCGGGCAGTGGCGAATGCCCCTCAGATCTTTGTAATTTAAAGCTCTGAATGCCACTGCAACTGTTATCGACAGAAGCTTACCACCAATCGCATGACTTAAAAACTCATTTTGTCATCAAAGCGTATAAAGCTTCATTTTTTACTGTTAATTTTCTAAATATCCCAAAATATAGGTTGTGTCTTGTTTATTTTTAAAATTATTTAAATATAAAGGCACTCGGCCACTGTCAGACTTGTTTTCCATTTTTTCTCGTTACAACACAATATTATTTTTTGAGACAATAATTTGTATGTACTGTAATGTAATGTACTGAAATTTCAATAAATAATACGCATTTTCAAATCGATCACTGTCGGACTAGTGTTTACTGCCTAATTTCCGTGGCAGTTTTTATTTAAGTACCTATTCGATTTTTTTATTGTGCAAAATTATTTAATATTCGAGTGTTGTATCGTGAAATATTATTTATAATTACACGATAATGTACTTGCCACGGAAATTAGGTATTGAACACTAGTCCGAGAATGACCGAAATATATTTAGTTCCGCGAAGTACCGGGATTTGTAGAAGGAAATATCCACATTATTGTTTAGTTCAGCTAAATTAACTCCCTCAATTTCGATCTCTGCTAATTAGATATGGATTTATGTTGTCCAAAAAAATTAATTATTATTATTTTGGATATCTATTCTAGGCTTTCACCTCTCCTATAGCCTAATTTTAATGGGAGAGGCGGTATTCCCCGGCAATGGCGTAATTGATATTAACATTTTAAATTAATGGGATAATTATGCTGATATGTAATGCTCGGTTTGTGAATGTAGACAACTTTTGTATATTACTAATATACTAAAATGTCGAGTTTTTGGAGACAGCTTTCTTATATATAAAATATTATATAATAACAATATTTTCTTTATGTATTGCAGATAGCGTTCTTACTCTGTGTGTTATGGAGTCTATTAGCTGCAGTAGTATCTCGACCAGATGGCGGAGAGACGCATCCGTTGCCAGGCCCAGGCTTATCCTACGGTAATTAAAATTACCTATAAATTTCATAGACAGTCTATGTTGTTCTGACAGTTTCTTTTCTTCTATTAACTTTCTCTAGATTATGCATATAGATGAATTGTCTAACATGGCTAAGTACATATATGACTTGCAATTTGATATATGTTAATTTAAATAACATACAAATTCAATCAATATTCCAGGTGGAATTCCTTACGGCAGCGTAAGCGGGAACGTAGCAGAATACTTCAGACGCCCAGGGCCATCTATCGTGCGACGAGTGAACTTCGCTCCTAACGACATTGACTACACGCCAATAGAACAGTGGCTGCGCAGATAAACAACCTAGTTCGTAGTTTAATTTATTGCCGAGAGGTGGCGTTGTAATTAATTGTTATTTTATTTGTAAGTTTTGAATGTGATCATCAAGCTACTTTGGAACGTTTCTATTACTAGACACGTCGAGTTGAATTTAAATCTTAAATGTCAAACTTTATGGGCCTAGCACCTTATTTACAATACAAATAAAAGTGTTAATTTAACGTCTCAGAGAAAACCTACGAATATAACAGAGACCGAAGCGACATCTTTAATGATTTCCTAAATACTTATATTTCTTGTAGTAAATACTATTTCTTGTAGTAAACTTTTCCTAATTCATCGTGTTTTGTTTACCTTAGGTACTGGCGCTTCTATTGTAGTAGATTTCAACAATTTCATCTAACAAATGTCAAATACAAATCACATATATCTGTCCTCAAATCAAACGGCTAATCACACAATTAACATCGAATAAACGGCAGAAAAACCACATCATTCCAAAGAAATAAATTGCAAGAGACTTGTCTCTACATTGTTAGTTTCTTTCCCATAAAGTACGTACCTAACTATTGTCTGGAAATTACTTTTAATACCAGGTAAAGACACTAGATGTACCGTTAAAGAAAAACGGAAAACATTTTAAGGCAATTAACAGGTTCTTAAAAACATAACCTGGAGGACCTTGACGGCGTGTTGGGATAAGGCCTACTATAGAGAAACTATTTTCGACGTTAGGGTATAATGTATTTTCACCTCACTAACCTAACTTTTTCTTTCGATGATAAATTTATTAAAACTGATTTGTTATAGTTAAACTGTTTTTCTTTCATCTACCATTTTCCTTGCTGCATTGAGGTGAAAAAGCAAAAAAGGCAAAGTTGTTTAGCGTCTCGTGCCTTGAAACCCTCGCTGTGCTCACGATTCTACCTTTCTACTCTTACAATCTTTTGCTTGCTCAGGTTTGAATACAAGGACTCGCGTCAAACAACATCTTTGGAGCCTTGCACTAACAAATAACTATTTCTGCATGTAGACGACTAGAAACAGAGTGATTTGAATTAATTGTGTAACGACATGAATTCATTTCTGTCCACATTCGCTCAACGCATTTGTGCCTCTGTCAACATACATCCATCCTTTCTATATCGAGAATTCTCTTTTCTATCCTGTAGGGCTAGCACGATAGGTCACGACTTGCACGAGAGTGACATAGAAGAGCGAGATATTGATAATATTATCTACACGGGAGTATAGCAGTAACTCGCGCTTTATGTCGCTTTCTCACAATTCGCGCCTTGTCGTGCTAACCCTACTGTTCAATATAATCACCTGTCACAATAGTAATTAGCTCCAAATATATCCAAAGTTATAAATTTAGAAATACGTAGAAAAACGAACTTTACAAGGAAAGTAATTAAGTTAAGAATTGGTCAATAAGCAGAAAAAAATATCTAAAATGTGGTTAGAAAGTATTTTTACAAGATACAAACGACCACATTCAATCAATATTTTTATGAAATAATAATTATTTGTATCCGACCAGATCGAAGGAATTTTTTCTGAGTGCTTTTTCTGAGTGTTCTATCTTTGTATTAATAATTGTAATTATTTGTAATTTTAATCAATTAATAAAATCTGAAAAAGGTCATATTTATAATTTGTTACGCTAACACCAAACTCTACGTGACGTCGTACGTGTAGGTAAGTAAAGAAATGTCACTGTATTTACTATTAAAAAATTTCGGATCGTGGACAGGTTAGTCCATGAATAATTGATGTCATAATAAAGAATTGACGCGTTCAGGTTAACATGTAGTACTTCTTCGATTTTGATGGTTCTTTCTTTTCGACTTCTTAGGGTTTCGCGAATGTTACACATAGGAAATGAAACTATTTTTCCGGATTTAAATCGCGTATACATGTTTTTTCAAACAAATCAACGTTCCGGGCCCTTTACAGTTCTCATGACACGGTTGGCTGAGGTGGTACAGTCTTCAACCACTTATGTCTAATATTAATGCAAACCACCCCATTTTTTGACTATACTTACAAAAGTTATTAGTTATATAACTTATTTTTAATTTTATAACACAACTTCAACAAATAGGGGTTTTATTAATATTACCAAGTGATGGGACGAACAAGTCGTACCTGGTGGACTAACGAACGACACGCCTGTCCATGACAGTTGCAGCACCATTCAGAGTTTAAATAGCAAAGATCTGAGGGGCACTGCCACTGCGCCCGACACCCTGAGACATACGTTGACAAGTCCCATGTGCCTGTAATTTCACCAGCACCCTTACCCTTCACAACCGGAACACAGTAATGCTGACATTACTGCTTGGCGGCTGAAATAGGTAAGGTGGCAGTACTTCCCTGGACAAATTCTTTTACAAGAAGCTCTACTGCTGCTAATCAATCAAATATTGTATTAGGGTTTTAAAAGTCTATATTTAATTATAGCAATATTTTTCCTGGCTGTGTACTTTTTAATACCAGAAAAAATAAAGGCCCAATCTTCAGTTACAATGATAGAATATGACGCAATACAAGAGGGAAGTACCTCCAGCCAGTATCTCCCGTCACGCTTCATGCCTCCCAAACTGTGGAATTAGTCGTGTACATAGTCACTCGCATAATACTACACAGTCAAGTTGTTATTAGGGAGATTATTAATGGCTAACTAAGTAGGTTATTGGGTTGCGATTATATAACTTGAGTTTGACGTATTTATTGCTTGTTTACGTTGCCTATTTTCAATGTTACGGCGGAGAAATGAAATTGTTAGTAAATTCATTCACAAAGAAAAAGTATCGCGCTTTCTTTCGCTAAAAATTAAATAAATAAAACCAGAAAGATAGAGATTTCACTCTTCTTTCGTTTCTTCCACCCCCATTAGTCTCTTTATACATACCCGTTGGTTCTAGTGCTTTTAACTTGGTCCTTTAAAATCCTATTTAACGGTATCACCAATAATTATTCTATAATGGCCCTTATCAAATCGCAAATAAACAAAGAAGAAGAAATATTTGTATACAGCACATTTATTTCTCACGCGAGTTTAGGTGTAATTTGTACTTGTCTACGCAAGTGTCGATAATATCCACATATTTCATCAACCAAAGACATTTGATATTGTATAGATTCAAATCCTAACTGTCAAAGAGACGTTTTCTTCTCTGTACAGCGAAAAACATTCAACATGATCTTTTCCGTTACCGTGAATCATTATCAAAGTAGAAATTGTCGTTTACCTCCAACGAATTCGAATTACCAGCCGCTAACAACTGTAAAATCGAGAAGAAATATCGATTTTCACGGCTAATCGAGTGTCGTTAATCGAATGACATAAACTTCACGGCCGAAGAACAATCGGAGGTGACACAGCGTTTGTATTGACCATTGGACACAGTCTCCGTGTGTGACGACTGTTTACAAATGCAAGCTATGTATTTGATTGGAGCTGTATGCTTATGGCGAAGGCGTTGGTTATTATTTTAATTTACGCCATATTCTTTTATGTTTTTTCTTTTATTTGAGTCGATAGCTGGTTATATTCAAAGAATGTGTTAAAATACAATATCCATATTTTTTGAAAATCATGGTTAGTTTTGAAATATAATTCGCACTCTTAGTGTAATAAGGTCACATCTGCAAAATGATAACTTTTCAAGAGATTTAGTCGATAACTTTTTTATGCTTAAATAAGGAGAGTAATATAATTTCACATATACATAATAGATAACGTCACTTCTTTCACTGACTGCTATACTTTACAATTTTGTCATAACTGGCTGTACTGGGAAGTACATACTTATTAACTCGGTATTTTAGTAGCAGGAGCTTAGCAAGCAGTAATCTGAGCATTACTGCGTTTTCTTTCTTCCGGCACATGGGACTTGTCAACTTACATCTCAAGCTGACGGGCGCAGTGGCAGTGCCCTTAAGATCTTTACGATTTAAAGCTCTGAGGGGCACTGCAATTGTTATGGATAGGCGTGTCGCTTACCACCAGGTGCTCGAATTGTTCGTTCCGTCACTTGTTATTATATAAAGGAAAAGAATCCGTTTGACTCGATCAGCAAAATCTTTGTGTCCACGCAATAAGAGCGAAAAAACCGATGCGCTTTTAAAAACGTCCTAAAAATAATACAAACCACAAACAAATTATGTATAACGTGTGAAATTTTATTACTTTCCTATTTGCTTAATTACTTAAAAATCACAGATAATTTTGAAAAACGAAAGCATAAAGAAGTTACCGACTATTTTTTTAGTACAATCTTCTTGAAAGTTGTAATTTTTCAGATGTGCCCTTTTCACATCAAGGGTGGGAATTGAAGTTCATAAAAATGATTTTTTAGAAAGTTTTGAATATTTCTCACGCCCCAGAAGATTCTACCATCATCCCAAAATGCAAATGCCATCACGAAACCACAATAAATTTGAAATGTCACTGGGCAGTTCAAATTTATAGTTCGTAGGTTATCTGATGAATAAGAACGCAGTAAAAATCGGGAATTGTCTTTTAATGTCCTTCGACTGTTTAGCATTATTAATACACGGACGATAAATAAATCTAAACTTATCGAGTTCTTAGGTTTTCGCGATTTAGAACAGTCGGTTGACTGTGAGTCAACCGTGACCATGGGACCTGTAAAGGGCCCGAAACGTCGGTTTGTTTGAAAAAACAAATGTACGCGATTTAAATCCGGAAAAATAGTTTCATTTCATAGTAAAGTAATGCGAACAAGCTTTGTCTTTATTTCGTTTCTACCTTTGATCATGTTTGTCATGGTGATTTAGAAATGTAATCAACAACATTAACTGCCTCAGTGGCCGAACGGTTATCATGCCGGACTGCCATGCAGAGGTCCTGGGTTCGATTTCCAGGCCAGGAGAAATATGTGTATGGCGTACATTTATTTCTCTCGTGAGTTTGGGTGTAATTTGTGGTTATCTATGTGTGTGTCCATGGCACCCGCGACACAGGGTTTCCCTAGTGCGGGGCTATGTTGAGTGTGTACGTTATTATTATTATTATGTCAACTGGCAGGACGAACATGGTCGTGCGCCTTGCAGTTGACACAAAGTAGACAAGTTCCATGTGTCAGTAGCTTCATCAGAACGCAGTCCGGTCATTCTCGGAATAGTGTTCACTACTTAGTTATCGTGGCAATTTTTATTATTGTAGCAGTAGAAAAAGAGTTCGTCCAGGGAAGTACTAGTTAGTAATGCGAGCATTACTGGGTTTCCGTTATGAAAGGTGAAACTGCTAGCGAAATTACAGGCCCATGAGACTTATCAACTTATGTCTCAGATGGCACTACAACTGTTATGGACAGGCGTGTAGCTTAACGTCAGACCCATGACTTGTCCGTCTCATCTCTGGTATCATAAAAAAGCTCTAAAGCTACTAAAATATTGTTCTTTAATGGACCAAAATGTTTCATTCAACAATTCGTGAGTACCGTTCCAATGTAAAGGCAAAATACGTTGATATGCAAACCCAACATAATTTTGCTTTTGGTTAACTTTACATTGAGGACACAGGGGGATAAATTATGTAGTAAAATACTTATACATGTAACAGATATTAGTGTTTATCCGTCTGCAAAATTTAAATTGTTGTAGAGTATGAATTTGGTATGCAAGCCGCGCAACATATCGGTATTTTAGGCTGTCATCGTTACGTATTTGTCGGTGGAATTGCGTTATTATTACAATTGATGGTTGTTGGAACAAACGTGCTGTCGATTTTACG